TATATAACTTCAGACACACTCTGTATATACAAACACAATATAATTTATACATTGTATACCTTTTGTAAAATACTTTTCTATATCTTCTACATTAATCTTGTTTGACCATTTTAATGGAGATATCCTCTCTAAAGCTGGCTCTGCGGGTACAGATATTCCAGCTTCTTGAAGCAAGGTTGAAAGTAATTGTGTCCGTGAGAATAATAATGTTACAAGTTTTTTTAAACGTGCTAATTCTTCTTCTAGAGAAGAATAAAAAAAAGAAATAATAATGTTTATATTTAACTTTACAACATTTGTAAGCAATGATAGTATTACAAATTATATTGATATATACTGTGAGCTTCCGATGCATGAGCGAAGAATAATTCTTCAGTACGAACATGAAGTTCTTTGATATATTTTGATGCATGAATCAATATATCAACTTTGTTGCGTTTGCGACCTTCTTGATGAGGAGGTAAGAGATCTGCCAAGGTCTTGAAATATGTATTCATTCGTTTTCGTCTGTCTCGCTCCCATGTTTTGGCTTTACTAAAACAATTATTAATCTGAAGGACAATTTTGCTAAAAATCATTGATAAAAAATTTAATAATTTTTTTTAATTATTAACGCATATAAAAGTCATCGTCTATTGCCAGATTTTTAACATCGCTATTTTAACGTCGCTTATTTATATTTTCAATACAAAATTTTCTATAGAACTATGTACATAAACGAAACTTTTTTCTTTAATGATATATAGCAATGGTGAATGAAATTTGACAGAAACTTACGTGTTTTCTTTTCGAGGCATAATTTATTTTCTTGACATCGTTTAATTAAAATGACGTATCATGGGAAGCGTCAAAATATCACTTATCATCCACATTATGATTTTAAATTAATATATTTTTACACTTTGACATCTCGATAATTGAGCTGGCCCCAGATGGGCTCCAACCGGTTTTACATTCTACTCCATTCTTTCACCGTAAAATTTGAGATTTCAGATCGAAGTTACAGATTGCGCCACTATTCCTGTACCAGTGACATCTGATAGAACGAAAATGTACTTATCTAAATACATACAATATAAATAATATTGTTCAATTTCTTTTTTATCCTTACAATTTGTTAAATATTCTATGACAAGATTTTTTAGTTCGCCGTAAAATAATTATCGTTTGTCACATCAATATAAATAAGTGTCAGGTGCTGATTCTATTAGAGTTAATGGAGAAAAATTTCTTTAGCTTATTTGGTTAAAGGTTATCAAGTGATTTTGTAAAAGAGTGGGGCGTAACTAAAATTGACTAACATTTTCATTTATGCAATTGTGTTATTTCTATTTTTTCTAATATCAATAACAATTTTAATTAATATATTTTATAAAACGTCATAAAAATGTGTATGAATAATTAGCTAGTTAAAATTATATTTCTGTTCATTGGAAAATTAATTATGAGCATAGTTTTTTCTAGTACAGATGGTTGGATTATTTCTCATTTAGATTATCTCAATAATGTTTATCAAAGTGTTATCACAGAAAGCGGATTGCATTCTTTGATATTTAATAATATGTTGTTTAAAATTAATTCCCAATATTTGAGACAAAATCAGTTGGCACGTACCATGGAAGATAATGTAAATCCTTTACTAAGCAAAACTAGGAAACGTAAACGAAACAAACTTCTTCCGCAGGACCATTTAAACGAAGTAGGTTCAAAATTATTTTGAAGATATCATCGCTTTACATTATGTTTCATATGTTTTTCTATTTTATAGTTAAATTTTATTCAACAAGCATTCAACAAACTAATATCATCTGGCAAATTAAATGGATTGTTCGGTGATAATATTTCAGTTGATAATAATGAAGTGGCACGTACAATGTCAGAGAAATTTTACTCCGATACATTTTATCAAAGATTAGAAAATTTACACGGATGTAACAATTCTGATGTAGCGATTATACGGAAGGCACAGTATAAGAAATATGTATTTCCTAAAAAGTGCAGCTTTTATTGTTACGATGTCAGAAACATGACGCAGAAGATGGAGTTGAACAATCAGTATGATTTTGTACTATTGGATCCCCCGTGGTGGAACAAGTCTATAAGAAGAAAAAAGAGCAAATCTGTAGCAGCTAGGTGATCTTGTATGGTTCAGTTTAAACCAGTAAAAAAAATAAAATAACGAAATATTTATCAGCACTTTTAAAGAGAACAAGTAATTTATATACTAGTTATATTTATCCTGTTCTCAGTTTTCTAAACAAAGATCGGTAAATAAGATTTTAGATGCAACTATTCGTCGTTAAAATCACTCTCGAACATTTGATAGTATATTGTTTGTTTTATTTTTATTTTTAAGTATTATTATTATAGCAGTTATTTAATATCATTTATAACATCTTATAAATTGCCAAAATTTTATTTAATATCTTTGTAACAGTTATCAAATGATGTATAATGAAGAATTAGTTAAAATACCCATTGGAAAATTATTATGTTCAAACGGTATCGTAGCAATTTGGTGCACCAATGCTCCCAGTCATTTGAATAGTATTTTTAATGAAATATTTCCTTCCTGGGGTGTTACGTATAAAGCAAAATGGTATTGGGTCAAAGTAAGTTCAATAATTGCAACAAAACAGATTTACTGAATATTTCAACAAACAGTAAAATATTAGAACTTCCAATTATTTCAGGTAACTCAAATGGGTAATACAATTTGTAATTTTACTTCAACGCCCGGAAAACAGCCTTATGAGTTAATAATATTAGGATGCGCATCTGATATTAATGTTAATATTCCAGATGGTAAATTAATTATCAGTGTACCAAGTGCTGTACATTCGCATAAACCACCTCTTATAGGTGAGTACTATGACGTATTTCAAATATAAATGTGTTTTTTTTTTTCAAATATTTATATTAAAATAAAAACTTTTCTAATATTTTAGAAGTTATAAAAGAATATTTACCTAGCGAGCCAAAGTGTTTAGAAATTTTTGCTAGATATTTATTGCCTGGATGGACAAGTTGGGGTTTAGAGGTGTTAAAATTTCAAGATCTTTCTCTGTATACAATTCTAGAACATGTTAAAAATAATAAAGATGCCACGGAAAGCGTGGCAGTAGTTGTGAAGTAGTAGATAGTTACATGCATTAACTACAATTATTATTGTAACTACCAGTTATTTGGGCAATTAAACAATTATGTTTAAATGTGATATAAGTTTATAAACCTTTATTATTATTATTATTATCATCATATATATATATAAATTATTTATTTGTTAATTATACAAGTCTTATAAATTTATGTAGTATTATTTACATGATAATGAACGCCATTTTTAATTGGCGCACGATAACCATATGGATTCATGGTTTGCCACCTCCAAAAATCTTCACCTTTATTTAAAATATATTATTAAATTTAAAATATAATTAAAAATATTTTTCACATTTACATACGGTATAATTGAATATACTTACACATTCGTTCAACATTGTGTTTAGTTTTCCATCCAAGTTCTTTTTTTGCTAAATCTGTATTAGCAAACATCGAAACAATGTCGCCTTCTCTCCTATCTTTTATAATATATGGAACGGTTGAGCCTGTCACTTTTTCAAATGTTTTTATTAATTCAAGAACGGATACTCCTTGTCCAGTACCTAAATTGTAAATTTTTAGTCTGACATGTTGTTTATGTAAAGCATTTAAAGCAGCTACATGACCAGATGCCAAATCCATTACATGAATATAATCTCGAATTCCTAACAAAAAAGTAATTGATAAGTAAAAGAGTTTGTTTAATAATTACTAGAAACAATAAACTTTATATTGTACCCGTTCCATCCTTTGTAGGGTAATCACCACCAAAGATAGTCAATTCAGATTTATGCCTTAATGCAACTTGTGCAATGTATGGCATTAAATTTGTAAATGGTTTAGTTGGGTCTTCTCCTATTAATCCGCTAGGATGAGCACCTACTGGGTTGAAATATCTTAAAGAGATTATATTCCAACTCTGTCAAATAAAATGAATTTTGCACTCTGAGAAATAATACAATTTATAATAATTGTAAATAATGTTTTTTATCTTAAAAGAAATACATATTAAAATCATACCTTTTCTGCTCTTGATATATCTTTAAGCATCTCTTCAATGAAATACTTAGTACGACCGTATACATTAGTTATATTTCCTGTGGGATGTTCTTCGGTTATTGGTAATTCATTTGGTTCTCCATATACTGTACAAGAACTACTAAAAACTAATTGAAAGCACCCAGCAGCTTTCATTACCTAGAGATATTAAATTATTTTATAATAAATTAAATCGCATAGTTATCATTGTATATAATAACGAAATATTCTTACTTCTAATAAATTAATGGCACCGATAATATTATTCTTGTAATAATGAAGTGGAACTTGCATGGATTCACCAACTGCTTTTATTGCCGCAAAATGAATGACACAATCTATTTTATGCTAAAAAGTATTATATAAATTAATAGGAATATCATAAAAATGAGTATTACTTTATATTGATAATACTTACTTTATTAAATAATTCTTCAAGGTTGTTTTTATTGATTAGATCACAATTGTAAAATATTACTTTTTTTCCGGTTATTTTTTCAACTCTTTTAAGAGCAGCCGATTCACCTTTACCTTCTACAACGCTATTCGCAAAATTGTCTATGGCTACTACATCATATCCAGATTCTAAAAGTTCAACAATACAATGACTAGCAATATAGCCAGCACCCCCAGTTACAAATATTGTCTTCCAATTTTCACTCATAGCTGTAATAATATAATAATATAAAAAATAAAATAAAAAGAACTATTTATAATTAAATGATTGTATTTATTATAAATGAAGAAATAAATGTTATCACATTGTGTGAAAATATTTCAAGGCCGATCGTGCAAATCTGCATGTAATCGTGGGCAATCACCTTCAGAAATGTGTACGTTGAAAGTTCAAGGACACACGTAATAGATCATTCTGAGAATGATTGAATAAATAGATATTAAACATTTAAATTTTAGTAGAAAGTATATAATATAAATGTTTTTCTTAAATAGTTGGATGCTTTTAATTAACAATAATTAGAAGTTTTTAATAAAAATATAATTTAAAAAAAAGCAAAAGAAAAAGAAAAATGCCTATGAAAATTTGAAAATCTGGAGGATCATTTCGAATCTTTTAAAGATCTACTGCGCAATCGTATTTTCAAATATAACGGTATTCCTCGAATGCTCATGGTTCACCTTGCATCATAATTAACTACGGAATGTACTATATGTAACACTATATCGCAATTAAATAGTTTTTTAAACTTGAATCCTATTACAGCAACCTTGACATTCTTTGTTAAATAATACAAAGTAAAAGACTCAGTTGATTAAATTTATAAAGAACTTATTTTATTTATAAGAAATATAAAAAATAATTAGAAAATATATACGAATTAATCCAAATTGAATTTTGATTTTTTAATAATTACAATATATTTTCCTTAAATATTTGTAGAATAAATTTGAATAATTCAATCACTTTATTAGTTTTTACTATTGTTTAAAAAATATGTAAATAAAAAAATTGAATAATTTTACCTTGAAAAGTAATTTATTTATTCACTCGATTAGGTATTAATTAAAATTATTTTTTTTTAAATGTCGAAGAATCGTGGAGGATACTTTCGCGTTTATCTAATGACTGAATGTATTTCCAGTTATGTCTACGTTCTTCAACTGAAGAAGGGAGAATTTAGTATACTCTGAAACTAAGAACAGTGCCTCTTGCACGATTATACGAAATCACGTACTATACCTATCTTCATACACTCTCACTCTTCCATTCGTACGATCTGTAATAACAGGTTCTTCCTTTCACAACCTTCCAAACGCCATTTCTTATGAAAGATGCTTCAAAGACGATATAGGAAAATGAAATTGTTCTTAATTATTTGTCCTTTATTAAACGTATTATTATTTATGGAAAATTTAAAGTCTGCAATACTTATCATGATGAGAGAATAAAATAATAAAAGAAAGTTTATAGCTTTATTAAATGTTAATTGATTTATAAATATATTTATATATATATACAATTATCACATATTTACTGTAATGTCAATACTTTAATTAATTTATGCAATAATTCCTTTTGTTCTGCATTGAAATATGGCCATAATTCACCTTCTAATTCAAATAATACTTGAAAATCGCGTGATTGACAAGCAAGTACCAATGATTGCAGTAATAAAAGTTCATCCTCGCTCATATCAAGACCTATAATGTTTAAATAATTTTTGTAACATATATACAATTTTCAGACTTTAATTTATGCAATAATTTTTAAATAAGAAATAAGCATACAAACCATTGTTTGTACCTTCCTCAACCCACGTATACTTCTCTAAAACTTGCACCAATGACGGTGCTAGCCTTTTAGGTGATGGTTGGAGAATTAAAAGTAAAAGAACTCTTGTTATTTCGCATCTAAAAAATATTATAATTAAAATTATAGATGAACCTTCATATGTTACCAAAAGAATATATTGTATAAATAATATAAATATACTTACCGACGTAAAATAACATTGTAATTGCTTCTTATACCGATATTAATGTAAGTTTTTACAAATTCGACAAATTCATTAAGAACATTTAAAGCAGCAACATGATCACCTGAAATTATTATTTAAAAATGATCATAATATATATCTATAGTTATAATTTTTATGCAATATAACAAATTTTCTACCTTGTTCGATATAATAAGAAATCAAAGTATTAACACCTTTTGGAGTTGGAAAAGTATCAATCGATTTTCGTAATTGTTGAATTCCAGCTGAATTGGCACCTAATGATAATGCTAATTCTATTGCTAGTCCTGCAGATAATGTATTAAATCCCATTTGATTGCTACAACGCAATGAGGAATGACGAAAACAGCTGACTGCTGTCTAAAATATATTTCCTTAAGCTTATGATTTAAGATATCAATTAAAAGTAGAAAAAATTAATGAATAATTAATTATTTACCACCATATTTTCTTGTCCTAATGATGGACAACCGATATCATTATTTTTTTTTTCCGCAGTTAAAAACTGCCTACCAGCTTTAATTAGCAAGCTTATTTCAGAAGAAGCATTTTTTAACGTTCCATGACATCTAGCTGCTGCTAAATAACATAAGCCTGCATATTGCCATAATTCTTTTTGTTCGCATTCAACAGCCAAAGCACCTATGTACAGAATTGTTATAAAACTATACTAAAAAATGTTAGCAAATATAATAGTATAATACTACTTACAAAATTGATCATTGGCTTCTGTAATATTAGGCTTTCTTAGAAAACGTCTAAAATTTATTGAAAAATGATTTTAGAATTTATTTTAGAATGGTTTTATTAATTTAACAAAGATGAATTAGTCATGTGAAATTTTTTTACTTTTTAATTTTGTTTGATATGATTTGATATCTTGCCAAAATATCTGCTGTGTCTACCTTCTGTCCTTGATTGATTTGAGACATCTTAGTTAAATAAATAATTATAAATATCAAACATACTGATACATTTCTCTTTCATAAATATTTGTATAAAATATAATTTTTCTTGTATGCCTTATAAGAAACTTTAAAAATATATATATATTTAAACTTAAATATATACAATATAAATGAAATAAATTTTAATACAAATTTTTAATTATAAAGCCAGTATATCTTAATATAATTTGATAATGCTAATTAATTTATTATAGAATATTTGTCCTAAGCAAAGAATACAGAAGTATACAAAAGTTCACAAATCCCCTTTTCAATTTAATCAGTTTCATCTTAGTTGCTACCGGGATCACTAGTCGCCGATAGTAGGTACTTAACTGTAGGGACCCTGTAGGAGGGATGCGCATGTACATTGCTGGGGGACCGGAACTCGATTTTGCGCGCGAATGATTCAAACATTGAAATAATTATGAAATAATGAATTGCATCAAATACAGAAAAAAAATGAACTATATTTAATGATAATTAAAAATTTATATTAAAATAGAATAGGTTACACGATAAATTACTATAAATTCAAACGGTCCCCCAAAATTTTCAGCCAATGGCACATGAGCTGAATATGAATGGATGAAATGGCATCCCTCCTACAGGATCCCTACTTAACTGTGGCTGCCTTGATCCAACGGTATCAATTTCCGTCGATAGGTGCGTTCCGATCGAGACCACCAAAGCGCCATCTGTGAGAACTATACGCGCGACCAGCAACGGGTCAGCTATTACTCGCTCTCTTTTCGCTTACCAGTCTTCGCAGTAATTACACGTTTGGTCGACTAGTCTTAAGCTTATTTTTATAGCGCGTTCTCTTGTATTATTTGAGTTGTGCAATAAATATATTAGGTCATCCTGAAAATTTCTTCTTTTTTTGTGGTGATAAGTTAAACAATATTGCATGCGTAATATACTTTTTTTGTATTTTACGTTATTTTATTAAATAATATCAATTCTACGCTATTTTACATTTTTCTATACTTTAAATTATTCAACCTAAAAAATATTGTGCCCGTAGAATTATTAAAAAAAAGAAGAAACTTTTAGGACGACCTAATATATTCCTTCGAATTCTAACCCCTTCTAGTTAATTATTATAGAGCGCAATTGCTCCATAATTGGTGACCCTGACGTGATTCAGATAGATTACTTCGCCACGAATTTTTCAACTCACAAGAAGAGTCCACGGCTTGATATTTTAAAACGTTTATGAAACTTTATAAATTTATATGGGTTCGTTAGGATTACAGATCGTACATATCCTATTTCTTTCAGATCTCTTCTAATATTGTCCTCCCATCAACGTCTCGGCCTATCTAGTGGTCTTTTCTCGTTCGGTATACCGACTAATATTTGTTGTACAATCGATGTACTTCTATGTTATGGAGTTTTCTCCATTCACCCGTTTCCTCATCGCGTTCTGCACTGAAGATTATACGAAGAACTTTGTTTTCGAAAACCCTAAATTTCTTTTTGTTCCGTAACGTAAGTGACCACGTTTCGCTACCATAAAGGACTACCGGCAGGTATAGTTCTATATATCCGGCAGGTATATGGTTCTGTATATCCTGGTTTTTAATCGCCTAGACAGTAACCGCGCGCGAGCTAAGTAATTTATTGACCGAATAAAAGCATGCATTGCCTAAATTGATTCTTTTCGTTCGTCTGATTTATGATCGATCCTAAATACCTAGAGTTGCTGACCCGTTCAAAAATTTTATTCTGGACAACTAAAGTTCCAGTATTAGGCATATTCTGAACTCTATTGGTGACCATATACGTAGGTTGGAACTTAAATAGTGGCAACTATTTATTCACAAYCGRTAYAAAARARTTACRTGTTTGCACCTGTTACTGTCCTTCAAAGTAGTCACCAGCGTTGTGTAGAACCCGTTGCCAGCGATGTGGAAGGCGTAGTATACCGTTAGCAGAGCCTATTCTGTTGATGATGCGAATGGAGTGGTCTACTGCCATGTTTCATCCACTGTTACGATACGGCGTAAGAAAGCCTCTCCTTCGCGCTCATAGCGCTCCAAGTGCGTCTGGGCAGCGTTGTAACGCATCCATTTCTGCATTTCCGTCAATTCATACGGAACCTATCGTGGCATTCGCTTCAGAATTGTTCCAGAGATTCAACAGGCAGTAGACCGCTCCATTCGCACCATCAACAGAACAGGCTCTGCTAACGGTATACTACGCCTTCGACATCGCTGGCAACGGGTTCTACACAACGCTGGTGACTACTTTGAAGGACAGTAACAGGTGCAAACATGTAACTCTTTTGTATCGGTTGTGAATAAATAGTTGCCACTATTTAAGTTCCAACCTACGTATTTTATTTTTTCCACGCTATGTAATTTTACATGTTCGTTTAAGGGGGTCATCCCATGTGATGGGCTCAAAAAATCGATTTTTTTTTTTCATAAATTGCTTTCTTAACATGTCTAGAATACGGTAGTAAAGTGATTTTTGAAAATTCGAAGTCGTTTTAAAGATACAGCAGGTAGAAAAAAGAGCTGTTTGGAGCGCTGAGTTGGCAGTTGGGGTCCGGGCCTATTGTGTATCGTCGACTTTATACCTAACCCCCCTTTTATACATATATACATTTATACAAGTTTAGACAAGTTTCTACAGGCTTAAACAGAAATTTCTATAGTTATTAAATATTTTACCGAAGTTATTTTAGTCTTGGTTGAACTTCGAAGAGTGCAACAACTACAAATAATTTCTTTTCATAGATATGAAAAAGGAAGTTTGGGCAACGTTTTATCACAAATGTTCTTCAGATAAAAACCCTCAACATCAATTTTGTCCAGAAGGTGAAGACAGTTGATGTAAATGGCGTAAGGCAGAAGCTAAGAATGAGCTCGACCAATTTCATCACGATAAACCACCTCTAATACCAGAAGTACAAGTAGCTATCAAACCGGTTTTCGAAGATTTATCGAAAGACGAATTATTTATTCGTTGTTTAGGAGCAGAGACACAAAACAATAACGAATCTTTGAATTCGTTGATTTGGACTTTTGCTCCTAAGCATCTTCATTCTGACCCCAAGATTGTTGAAATTGCTAGCTACTTATCAGTTATCATCTTTAATGAAGGTTTTAAAGGTGTTTTAAAAGTAATGTCGGTTATGGGGTGCCCCATTGGCCGCGAAGCCCATATGTATGTTGAGAAACGTGATGAAAAGCGAATCTCACGTTCTGAGCGACGCGTAAGTGATGTCGTTAAAAAAGCCAGGATTGACTCAAGAGCTGAACAATCTGCTTTAAAAGAGTTTCAAGAGGAAGAGGAAGGAATATTCTATGGACCAGGCATCGCCGATTGAGGGTAAGTTGAGATTTTCATAGTTTTTTATGGACTTGAAACTTTAAACGCGTTTTTCTCAAACTGTGTTTTTCAAACTTTCCTTCATCGTATCTCAAAAACGGCTTGACCGAATGACTTGAAATTTATAAGGCACACTCAACACATGTAAACGCATGAAATGAATTATTATCAATCGAAAATTTCCAAAATTTCGATTTTTTTATAGCAAAAAACAAAAACAAAACGCAAAATTCGCAACTTTTATTTCAAATGTCTACCAAAAGTCCAATTTTTTGTATATTCATTTGATAATAGTCCATTCCGTGCATTTAGGCTTACAGATTAGAACGCCGTTTTTTTTTTCGTTTCAGATAAGCCAATCAGCCGGAATCGTGGAGGAAGTGCGAGCTCATTTTTTCGAGGCGGGGGTGTTCAGAACGCTGTAACTCAAGTTCTACACAATATTTTTAGCTTAAAATTTATATTTATACTGTCGAAATATATGTTAATAAATGATAATAAACTTAAAGCTCTATCTATTTACTGGTCGTAGAAAAAAATCCTAAAAAATCCCTAAAAAACAGGCAGTCACATGGGATGACCCCCTTAATATCTACTGTGAAAGCTCCGCTTCTCCTAGCTCTTCTTTATTAAGTTAAAAGTACGAACGACCATCAGTTTACCAATAATATTCTGAATCGTTGTTACTCTTATAAAAAAGAGCTATAACTCCTCATTGCAGTTATATCGATTCAGCTTTACGCTGAGATGATTTGAAGATATTTTACAGATATGATCCTATAAATGGGTATTTTAAATTTTAATGATGCTTCAATCTTATGTGAAGGCTAATACAGTTTTGCTTTTGAGAAACGTGGATAGTTTAGTGCCCAGTTGAAAAACTAACTTATATTTTAAAGTATGTATGGAAATAATATGAGTTTATGCTTCGTAGTATGCAGTCGCACACAAAAACACAGATATACAACGTTTAGTAGCCAGGAGTGGGGACTACGAAGCACCACATAAAGAGGAGACCGAGATAATAAGAAACAAATGTGTACTGTCTTCTATCTCATTCTCTCGCAGGCTCAATCCTATATACAATATGTATATATGTTTGTCTTTCTTTCGTAGTGTTCTGTCGTATGTTTTGTTTCATCATTTCATCCGCTTTCAAATTGCTCCGATTCTAAAGAAGTTTTTACTTCAAAAATATTTAAACTCATTATTTATCAAGTAACAAGTGTGGTTTACAAGTGTGGTTGCACAATGTACTTTACACCTGTGTGTGCATATTAGGTTGTGTGTACTGTAAATCGTTTTGCGATCATTTTTAATTAATACATCATTTAATACAGAGAGCACTATTTCTACATATCACGTGTGATGTGAAAAAAATAGACGTTTCTATATTTTTATATGTATATTAAATATTTCTAATAATTTCAAAATTTTCTGTTTTGATAATCGTTTTGCATAGTAGAATTACTGCATTTATTTGTGGAAACTTTGATATACTCTTATATTACTAGTATGCATATGTACTAATGTATACATTTATTTTTGCTTTAGTTTTTTATGCAATAATCACTAGCCTTGGCAACAGATTACAGCAATCAGTACATATACCTATTAATACATAAGTTTAGAAAACGTGGTTGAACAAGGGTGTCGGAGGTGTTCCGGAACAAGCACTCTAGTTTAGGCTTTTGCACCCTGGTGAAATGTGTGAGAATCGTGGAGTGAGTGGGTGGATATATATCTTTTGTCTTTTTAAGTATGGGTAATATGTCGACAGGTAGCATACTTTTTTGAGCGAATGTGAAAACTTTAATTTTAAGTAGGTAAGATCCAGGAAAGGCACTAGCCTTGCTTCCATTCTGGAGTGGAAATTCCGCCTCCTGGTTTACACAGGATTATCACGAAATTATATCTCATTCTATTATGCTTTATTTGTAAATTTATTTTGTGACTATTCTGTAATCTTTATTATGTATCATGATTCAAAGGGATTGCAACGATTAGAAAGATTCATTTCTATTTCGATTCTATCTCAAACGAGATAAAGTCGAATCAAATATGCAAATTCTTTGAAGCATTTGATACTTAGTTTTAAGTATTTCAGGATTAGCACTACGCACTATTGCGATTTCGTCTTACAGTTAGAAATATTTGATATAATTAAATATAACGAATTAATGAAATGAAGGTATTGCAAGAAAATGCATTACATTTATTGCACTTTTTGTTTAAATTCGATTTTATTACTCGATGTTAAAAGTGCGAAGTGTTATTAGGTCATCGAGGGAAATCATTATTTGCTTGGACATTCGATTAAATGTTCTCGTGCATGGTCAATGAACTCTAAGTTCATTGATGGTCCACGAGTTAGAAAAGTGAAAGTGAAATGCAAATGAATTTTTTAATAATTGAGAATTAGAATTATAACAAAATACGAGTTCATTTGCAAAGTTAGTATGAAAGATCTTATCTTGCTCGCACGTAAGAAATGTCCAAATTTTCAAGAAATGAAGAAAGAAGAGGCATATGCCGAAGATGCCTCTACTTAATTGTGGCTTAAGAGGGCAACTATAGGCTATTGAATTATTTTCAAAGGTTCAACATCATGTTCGAACCTTCTGTGAGAATGGTTCTTTAGTCATATTTTATATTTTATTCTATTGTTTCTTTGCTCGTCATTAATTTGTAGTTGTAATTGGAAATGATGGATCATTCCATCTCCTTGGGATACCAAATTCGTGTCTAAATCGTTAAAAAGATACATAAGTCAAAAACATTAAAATACCCTTATTATTAAATTTTAAAGCTTAATTAATGTTCGGTGAATATTAAAGTAATTTCTTTTTTCTTGTTTCTTCTTTAAGATTTTTCACTGTGATCGTATTTTATTAAATTTGTTATTTTTCTTTTCTATATAATGCAGTTTAAAAGTATTTCATAATAATTAATAGATATTATTTTTTTTAGTAACTTAATACGCCTTTAAATTAAATTTTATTGCAACGGTAAATAGAGATTTGATAAAAATAAGTGAAGACTCCAATTCAAAAGTGCATCTGCGAATTGGACGATTTATATGTCAGACTATTGTATCACTTGATTGTATGATAAATATAGTTTTCTTCTTGTTGCAGGTGATTATCGTTAGATTTTACCAGCAATTTATAATAATAGTGATTAAAAGGTTTAAAATAAACTATGAATATAAATTTTTTAATTTTAGAAAGCAAAATGATATTACTAAATATAATAAATATCATTGTAAAACTTAGAGAACAAAAAACGACTTCTAATTACTTCGTAGCACTTCGTACCTCAGTGTCAACTGACAGAGATAGAGACACATGAGAACGATCGCATTGTTTAAAAGTGTCCCCAAAATATAGAACCAATAAAGTTTTATTTCAGGGTGCGCTGAAGCTGCTAAGATTCTTTAGCGCTCAACCAGGTAACTCTCCTATAACAAGGTAGATAGGTTCTTAGAAAATGCCGTGTTGTGTGAAACCGTGTTGTATAAGACACAACAGATTTATGTAATTATTGCTTATTAACACGTTCCATGCCACGTGTACCATTTATGGTACACGTTAAACTTGACCATCAGGCCATGTGTAACATAAATGGTACACGCAGACATATGCACATATATTTGTTTAATCGTTATATACACAATAACTAATAATTACATACAATGTTTGAATTTTTTAAAGCAAGAGCAGCATAAAAACGGTTCGTTTGGGCAATCACTGCAGAACGTCACTACTCTTCTAGTATTCTGTCGCGCAACTTCAGTGCCGAATTTTTTAACATTTTCTTTATAACAAGAAATGCAGCGTTTTCTTACTGTCTCCGTTGGGCAAAAACGGCTTAGCAGGGAACGTGTTAAATTATTTATTTAAAATTTGACGATCAAGCAAACTAATGAAGGGAGAAAATTTTTTAATAATGTTATATATTTTACATTGGTTATTAATAAATGAATTAATAACAATGAAAAATGACATTTCTTACTCAATGTAAAGTATATAATACATTTATAGTTCTAAATTTATGAAGAAATAGTTCAAAAAAATTGTTTTTCTATTTTAAAATAATGTGTAATCAATAAAAATTATTGAACTTTATTAATCAATCAACTTTGCAATACTTGTTGCCATTTTATTAATTTACGGAAATTTAAGAAAAGTATAAAATGAATAACAACTCCAATAGTAAATTATTATTTTTCTCACATATGGATCGAAAGTTCGTTTTTGCTCCCTGTTTTCAGGGGCGAAAGTGCCACATTCCCGCCCGCTTGAACCTGTTTTCAGGGGCGAAAGTGCGACATTCCCTCCCGCTTGAATGTTGTAACAAATTAGTGCGCATGCTTCAATTTTTTAGCGCATGCGAACTAGTTTCTTAACCTTAGGAATATTTTAATAAATTACTGTGCATGCTTCAATTATTAATAATAATAATAATTTATACACTCCCTATTTAATTAATTAAATTTTATTTAAAAAAATATTTTTTAAACTTAAACAATAATTTATATTTTTAATAGAATCTAATTTTATATTTTATTTATTTTTATATTTAAATTTTTTTTTAAGTTTTTTTATATTTTATTTTATTTTTATTTTTAAATTTTTTTAAGTAGGGGACTCCGCCTCCAACCCCCGCCGGGGGCACAGCCCCCCGGTCCCCCTGATTTTTTTGCTGGGGCTCAATATAATTATTTAAAATTCTATTATACAATATAACTATACTATATATACTATCGAAAAATATATCATATACAGTAGAACCTGTTTTTGTGCGGTCCTTTTCTATGCGATTTTTTTTTGTGCGATATGTTTTGTGCGATCTTTTTTTTATGCAATTTTTTTCGTTTGATTTTTTTTATGCGGTATATGAATTTCAGCGGCGTTGGTACCAGTTTAATGTTTCCTATCAGTGTACATATACATGTATGGACAAACCCTGACTACGTGGACTCCTTGACGATAATGGAACTTTATACAATCACTGGATCAAGGCATAATCGTAAATTTTAAGAAACATTATCTCAAATTAACTTTTAGCTACGTTCTGAAGAAACTAGAGAACGATGTATTAGGCCTGACTGAAGTTTGGAAAAAATTCTCAATTTTAAACTGCATAAACTATATTACTGCAGTAATTGGTCAAATAAAACAACACACATTAAATTAGTGCTGGAAAGCGATCTGGCCTGAATGTGTAATTAATCGAAATGTAATCGAAAACGCGTCCACGTTATTATCTGAAATTACTGCGCTCGCATATATGGTAAGATCAGTGGAGGACTTTGATACTTTCGGCGAAAATGATCTGGACGAAATGATTGAGGACGAAAGTGTCAACGATAGTGACATTATCAATAATTTGATAGATTATAAAGACAGACAAGAAGAACTGGAATCTATTACAGCCGATAAAATATATGCAGGGATCCGGATTTCTAAAATTGGAAACGCATTTTCTTAAAATAGATACTAATTCTTAAAAAAGC